CCAACTTTCAGCTGAACAGCAAATCTTTTCATATAGAAACCTTTCCCTTCTTTATGCTGTTCCATGAACAGGGAAGTATGACTTTGCTCTAAACAGAGTAACAAAAAAAAAAATTCCCAAGTTCTTTTTGATTTATAGCACTCTGCTTATGTTCAGTAAGGGTATCTGGTAGTTTATCCCATTAAACCACTTGGGTCAAATCAGCAATACTTCTTTTCCTTGCCTTTTCCATTCCGTTTTTAATCTTAAAAACACAAATACCCCATATGAAAAATAATGAACAGCTATTCTCATTTATGGATTTTAAAGGAATGATATAACTTTCCAATACTGAAGGAGTTGTAGCAACAAAAACAGCAGCTGTGCTACCAATTCTTGCTAAAACAAGTCTATTCTATTAAGGCCTCGTGGAGCTTTCAGATGTGCCCCCCCCACATCCTTTTCAACTAGCACAGTGGTTCTCAACCTTTTTAATGCCGTGACCCCCAACCGGTCGTAAGTCAAGGACTACCCAACCGGTCGTAAGTTGAGGACTTTCCCTGTCCGGGAGCGCCGCGCATGTGTGGTGCCGCCCCCTGCGCCAGCTGAGGCGTAGCTGGCAAGCGGCAGAGATGGTGCAGGCCGACCAGCGGCTGGGCCACCAGGTGGCCCAGCCAAGGGAGGTAAGGCACCCGCTGGGCCCCACATGCGTAAGCAACCCTCCCTGCACCCGCCGGCCTCCCACTTCCCACCCCTGGCCCTCTTTTACTTACATTTTTAGTACTTGCTCAGCAGGGAGGGGTGGAAACTTCCAGACAGCTCGCCTTCGCTGCAGACAACTTGCAGCACCGTTTGCAGAATGGGACTTTTGGCGAGATCAGCAGGGCAGACAAAGCCTGGACAATTCCTATTGGCTTTTGAAAGCCAATAGAATTAGACTCTATTCAAGGGAGTCTATTCTATTGGCTTTCAAAAGCCAATAGAATAAAAGGGAGTAGCACAGCTAAGGAAAAGGGGGAAAAATGGCGGACTGCGTTGTTTGGTGACCCGTGAAATGGTCGTTCGACCCCAAATGGGGTCGCAACCCACAGGTTGAGAACCGCTGAACTAGCAGGAGTTCTAATTTGTGCAACCTTGTTGCAATTTTATGCAAAATCTCAGTATTATTGCACACATTTTAATATTTTGGCCTTGCTTTCTCTCAGTTTATAGATTAAAACTCAGGCTCACACTCGCCAAGGTTGACTGAGCAGTAACATCTCATTCTTGAATCGTATTAAATCTTTGGTTCACAAAGCCATTAGGCTTAGTTTAAAAGCCACATGCAGGCCTTAAAATGATGTTATGCATGCTTATTAATTAAGCTTTCTGGTATATACGCTTAATCATATGAACATAGCCTATTGTCAGGCTTTTTCCATAATGTAAATTCTAGTAACCTGAGCCATATGACCAGGGGTGTCAAACTGCTGGCCTATGGGCCAGTTGCATCATACGGAGGCCGCGTCCACCCGAGCTCTGGCAATGCAAAAAAGGTCATGATATGTTGTGACACGTCACGTGATGCAGCAAGTTTGACACCTATGCATATGACCATTGTTTGAAAGATACTGTGAACTATAGCTTAACAACAATTTGTGGGTGCTGCTAATAGAGAATATGGATGATTTCAAACTTTTATGGGGTGGACCTCCTTTTTTCAAGGATTCCCCAGAAATAAATATAATAGGCTGACCTAGTCAGGATAACATATTCTAGTCTGTAGGGTCTACCAGGAACTTCAGCCTGCCTCTAGGAAATAAACTGCTTTCTAAAGAACTATTTGTATATTCAATATTTTGCTTACTGATCTACATTATAGAGTTGTTAACGACTACTGAAATAAAGCATGGAATATTCTGAATATTCTAAAACAGCATCAAAATGTTAAATTACAGTTATTTGAGATCATCCATCCAAAATTTGAAAGTGCAGCTAGGAACACTTGAAAAAAATATTTGAAAAATGTGCTTTGAGCCTCATACACAAGCATATCATCTCTCTGTATTTCAAAAATGCAGCCCATGCTTTTTCAAACTTCTGTTCAGTGAGACTGAATAAAAAAATGCTGCTGCTTAAAGCTTGACCAGGTCCACACATTGTTCTAACCCCAATGTAGGCTGTTTGGTTTTTAACTTAGAGGGTTGAGCAAATCCAACCACCATTTGTAACATGGCTTATGGTTTAGTGCAATGTCTGAACAAGCCAGCCAATCTGATTCAACAAACTAAGAAATCCAGGCCTAGTACAATGTCTTTTATTTAAGGTTTGAGACAGACCTAGATAACTTTTAGATTTTATTTTTTTTTCAAACTTGGGTGATCAAATTACCTACTGTGTGACTTTGTCCAAGCATAACTGCTGGTAACCTGAAACCAACATAGCATCTGGCAGGAAAGCATAACTCAATGAACTTGTCACCTTTTCTGTACTCCATCTGAAGATGGTCACCAGAGCAGGTTTTTTTATGGCTTTTACACTATTCCAGTTTTCTCCTGGCCAGCATTTTGCATTCCATTTATTCTGACAAGGACTCTTGGAAAATTAAAAATTTGCTGATTATCTTGACATTTTCGTTGGTCCCATTGAGGATTCTGATTGATCACACGTTCTCCAAGAATTTAAACTGCTACTTATTACTTAATAGATATTTGTATGATTTGAGCAAATTATGTCTTAGTTTTAAACCAGACATGCTTGCTTTAATCCCAGTGAGAAGAGTGGTGGTTATCTGGATCTGAGAGGTCTGGATTCAAATCCCCCTTCATTTACTGGGTGACTTAATGCCTGTCATTTAGTCTTAGCCTAATCTGCCTTACAGGGTGGCTGCACAGACTAAATGAGGGAGTTATAAATATCATTTTTGGGGCCTCTGAAGGATGCAGCTCACAGGGATTTTGGAGTTGTTCTGGAATGTTTTTTTCCTACTTTTAACCAAGGGAGAATTCTAACATTTCAAAGAGTTGGGACAGACCTGAATTACTTGCTAGTTGCTTTGTTATTCTGATGATAGTGCCACACAGAACTCCTTCTGTTATAAACCCAGACACTTGGATGATGGCCAGGATAGCTGACAGAAATTATCAGGCTGATCAGTAAAGCACAAAGGGAAGATTAAACACCAAAGCCATAAATGGCTTGTAAGAGTGAGTGCTATGTTCAGCACGAAGCCATTTTCTAATCCAGCAAGCCAGATATTCCTGGGAAGGCAGATAAAACCCATCAAAAGGGAAGCTAGGTGGCTAGCAGTTCCATTGCTGCAGGTACAGTACTTCAAAGGAGCTGGCGATAGCTTCTACAGACAGATACCGGTAGCAAATACAGTCTGGTTCTGCCCAGTACAGACTGGAAGATCAGATGTTGCCTGGTTTCAGGTTGTTCTTTCATATAGTTTATATATCTGATGTTTTGACCATGTCAGATTTAATTGTCCAAATGTAAATTAACAGACTATAAAGACAGTCACAATTTTTCATGAGTGCATATGCAGTCTTATTAGACATTGTACAGCTGAAAAGCTTTTCTTATTTCATTTGTAAACTGCTTTACTCTTTGATATGTGCTTCATACAGAGGCTGTGTTTTGTGTGGGAACTGCACAAAAACATTTCTCTGGGGATTGGGCATAAACTGGGGCTGGAGCATTTTAGATGCAATGGCAGAGATTTAGATCAGTTACAATGAATTCCTAATCTCTTTTTTGTAGTTTTTTAAGTTGATAGAAGGCTTTAATTCAGGTTTACTTTTTTTAGAAAAAATATCTACAGGTAATCCTTGACTTGCAGTTTAGGGACCATTCAAATTTACGACAGTACTGAAAAAAGTGACTTATGACCATTTTTCATGCTTATGACCATCGCAGCATCCTCACGGCCATGTGATTTACATTCAGACGCTTGATAACTGATTCATATTTATGATAGTTGCCATGTCCTGGGGTCATGTGACCAACTTTTGCGACCTTCTAACAAGCAGAGTCAATGGGGAAGCCAAATTCACTTAACCACTGCGTTACTAATTTAACAACTGCAGCGATTCACTTAACAAATGTGGCAAGAAAAGTCGTAAAATGGGACAAAACTCACATAACAAATTTCTCACTTAGTAACAAATTCTGGACTCAGCTGTGGCCGTCCATGGAGGACTACCTGTATTTTAGTATACGTATATAGTATCCTTAGTGTTATAAATTATAAATTATTTATCAATTTTTTTAAAACTCAGGAACTCTGATTTTAGTCTACAGTTTGGCAAATTCCCAAAATATTTTTCAGGTGTTTGGATCTTCTAGAAATATCCCGTGCATCTAAAGTTTCAACAATTCACCACCAATGATCTCTGCAGATCAAAGAATGATTTAATTATCTCCCCTCCCTCTTTTTTTTCCTCACATGCTTCTTTCTGAGATGTTTGCTGGGAGTCCAACACCTTGGCTGCATTCTTCCCAGCTCTGCCCCCACCACCTTAGTTTTCAAAGCCTTTCAGGGAGCCAAGCAGAATAATGTTCAACTTCCTTAATAAAAGCTTATTTACGTATATGTATGAACACACCACGTCTTTGCACTGACAAACTTTTCTTAATATGCTGCTATCCTAATGTGATCACAGAATGTCCTAAAGTCAATGATGGCTTGTTTTGGGGAAAAAAAATATGTGCTTAGATCACTTGGTTGCTGAAACTGAAAAAAGTTCATAACTGTGAAACCGAGTCTTTAGGCAAGGGTGATCAGGTTAGCAGGGTGTCTGGGAACCCTGGTATTTGGATTATCACTCCATGCCACCCACCCAGCATTTCTGCTTGTCTTAAGCCACATTCCTTTCCTTGCTCTGAGGAGCTTAGGGTGAGAGCACATGTAGAGAGTGTTGCTGAAGGGGAGGATCCAAGTGGCAGATGGAGCTGCCCAGCACCACAGGGGTCAATTCATCCAATTCACATAAGGATGTTGAGTGAAAGCAAGGGGAGGACTGGGGGAAGGGGGCTGGGATATACAAAGATTTTAAGACAAGTCAAAAGGAAGCTACTACTACAGTAGGAGTGAGTGAGTATGTGAGAGAGATGACACAGATTGAGGAAGGCACTGGCCAGATCTGTCTACAGCTTTGAAAAGAAGGAGGTAACAGAAAGACACAAATGAGCTGAGAGACCCAGCAATTTTTTTTTTTTTTTTTGATCTTCCTTCTACACAAGAACTTTGCCAAGATTTATCCTGCTGAGTGATCTGGAAATAAATTTTAAAAAAAGGAACTGCTTCAGAGCACATTCTTCTCTTCTTCCAGCAGAAATGGAATTTGGCAACGATACTGATAATAACTCAAGCAACTATGAATGCGACTACGATGACTGGAGTTCTTCCAAAATCCTAATTCCTTCCATCTATTTGCTTGTTTTCTTTCTGGGCACCACTGGCAACGGTTTGGTGCTATGGACTGTTTTCCGAGGAGGACAAGAAAAGCGACGCTCAGCAGATACATTCATTGCAAACCTGGCAATAGCTGACCTGACTTTTGTGGTCACTTTGCCACTATGGGCTACCTATGTGGTCCTGGACTACCATTGGTCTTTTGGCTCTTTTGCCTGCAAACTCAGCAGCTACCTGGTCTTTGTCAATATGTACGCCAGTGTCTTCTGCCTCACAGGGCTCAGCTTTGACCGCTACTTGGCTATTGTTCGCCCTATAGCCAATGCCAAGCTGAGGTCAAAAGCTAGTGGGCTTCTAATGACCATTGTGCTCTGGACTATGGCGGCTCTCTTGGCCTTGCCAGCCATGATTTTCCGGAGGACTGGAATATTCAATGGGAATGACAAAGTGACATGTTTCATGGATTATTCAAGTGTGGCAACCAACAAGACTGAGGCAGCCTGGGAAGCAGGGCTTGGCTTGTCCTCTACCCTGATGGGATTTGTAATCCCCTTTGCCATCATGCTGACTTGCTACTTCTTCATTGCCCGCACAATTGCAGGCCACTTCCGAAAGGAGCGCAGTGAAGGATTGAGGAAGCGGAAGCGTCTGCTAACCATTATCATTGTGCTTGTGACCACTTTTGCAATCTGCTGGCTCCCCTTCCATTTAGTGAAAACCATCTACATGCTAATGGACTGGGAAGTGATGCCGTTGTCCTGCAGCTTCCATGCCTTTCTGAGCAATCTCCACCCATACTGCAGTTGCTTGGCCTATGTTAACAGCTGCCTCAATCCTTTTCTCTATGCCTTCTTTGATCCTCGTTTCAGACAAGCTTGTGCGGCTGTCCTCTGCTGCACATCAGGGCATTTGCCTGGAGCTGCAGGAGACAAATCAGCCAGCTATTCATCTGGTCATAGCCAGAACCATTTAGGGAAGAACATGGAAGCAGGGCAGGAGAAACAGTGTCCTGACAGCCAAGAGACTTTGCTTCATGGGTAAAAATGGAATAATGTCAAGCAGCCATGATAAACTTTGCATACAATGAGTCTCTCCTCTCTCCTTTTAATTTTTTCCCCTTGCATCATTCTAGCATCAGATTTTCTTTCTTTTCTTAATGTTACATTTTTAATTTTTTAAATGGGTAAGTCTGTTTTAACAGACATAATATTCATCCCTCCCTTTTGTATTCTGCTTGGTTATCCACTGTAACAATGTCTATGTTATATGTAGGGCTTATGCTAGGAGGTGGAAAAAGTATTTCATCCTGTTCTGAAACACAATGCTGCATACACAGCTGGTGGTTCTTCTAATGAAATTTACATGGACTTTTAAATGGACTTGTAAAGGGCTTGTGCTGGTTATTTATCAACCTGAGCTTTGAAGTGTTTTGAAAACTTGCAATAGGTTTTTGAAATGTTCAGTGAAATAGTAGAACTATGCACAAGTTGCATGAAATCAGGGGGTTCATTTTTAAGGTAATGCACTTGGAAGCTTGCTGCATATCTGCTGTCTATAGTCATTCTTTGGTGTTTCAAGCCACCTCTGTTGAACAGCTCCTGTTTAAGAAATGCTTCTATCCTACACCCCAGATTTTCTTACTTTTTCTTATCATGCCACTTTGAGGCATGGTTCCTTGGCAACTTCAAATTCCTTCATTTTCCTTGTTCTATGGGAAGAAATGATTACAGCCCCAGGAATTTCGAGTTTTAATATTCTCCACGATGGAGAACTGGCACCATGGACAGAAAACTTTAGTCTGCAAGCCTATTTCTTCCTATGTATGAAGACAACTTCTTCAAACAGATAGCAATTGTACTTTATTCTTTGCTCTAACATCTGTCCTATCAAGTAAACTATTATTTTTTTAAAAAAACCAAAACACATGAATGGTTCAGCAGCAAAATCCAGTTTTCTCTTTCTTTCTTTCTTTCTTTCTTTCTTTCTTTCTTTCTTTCTTTCTTTCTTTCTTTCTTTCTTTTTTTCTTTTTCTTCTTTCTCTTTCTTTCTTTCTTTTTTTCTTTCTTCCTCTTTCTTTCTCTCTCTCTTTCTTTCTTTCTTTCCTCTTTCTTTCTTTCTTTCTTTCTTTCTTTCTTTCTTTCTTTCTTTCTTTCTTTCTTTCTTTCTTTCTTCTTTTTCTTTCGACAATTCAGAGGGAGCTGGTTTCTCCCAGAATAAAATGTAATATTCTTGCTGCTTAATACACAATCTTAAGAGAGGTTGGGAAACAGTATCATGCTTGCATTGATAAAAATGTTTTCTTTGTAAAGATTGGGTCCATTACTCAACTTGCCTATACTTTATTCACTTTATTCAGTACTTTTATGTTATAAAAGTGCTGAATAAAGTTTTAAGTCATGCAGAAAAATGCTTTGAGTTTCTCTTAATGATTTCATTGAATTGATCTGCTGATTAAGATTTTTTTTAAATATATACAGCTTTTAAGGGTGCATCCTTTATTATTAATAACTGGGCAGTGTAAAACTAGACAAGAAGTTGTACATTTATACAGACTTAATGATTTTTTAAAAAAACAATCACAAATCCTTTTTACTGTAATCTTTTTTGTTGCAATTAAATTTGCAAGGAAGTGCTTCAAATTGAAAAGTGGTTTTGAACATTAAAATATTCTTTCTGAATTAAAAAAAATAATTAGGATATTCAAATGTGTTCATATTATCCTATTATTATTATTTCCTGTATCATTTTTTTAGATTCTAGAATTTATTCTGAATCTGAATTGTGGGATAGAATTATAGGTTTAAAATGTTTACAATCTATTTGCCAGTTTTCTTCATACAAGATAAAACATTCTTATCAGTTAGTAAAACATGGCTAGACATGTTATTTGCTCATCACTATGACATATACATGTGAAAGAATGAAGAGATACATTTGCCCAGGACTGTTCCATTTTAGGGTAAAAATAAAAAGCTTAAATTTTAAATATACCCTTGAGAGTAAACACTGCCTTTCCAAATTTAGAAAATAGCATTTCCTAAAAGCATTTTCCCTTCATGTTAGCTTTGTAGGCATATAGTAGGCTTTAAATGCAAGCAACTACAGTTAGAAGTGGTATAGCCCAACTGCCCCCCCCCAATACTTCTTGATTCCGTTGAATGTATAAAATGACCTTGGGTATGCTGTCTTACTCTTTTTAGCTTTCAACATAATATAAAATGATAGATTTTTAGATTCCTTATTTAGTGTGTTGAATGACTATCGACTGGGCCTAAAAGTACCAGAGAAGGAACAGAGTATAGGATCCTCACTGAGGGAGATGAATTCTCAGATAATTGCCTTTGAACTCCTCTGTTATGTACAGGTATGAATATGCATAATGCAAAACAAAAAGCTGGATAGTGTTTTTATTTAATATACATGGGCTTCATTTTCAAAAATTCCTACATCATCTGCATTGTGATAGGAGCAAAACAGCTGGGGTGGACCTCAGGAAATTGACTGATAACTGATTCAGAACATGGATCTAGCTAGGCCGTATTGCCCACACTGAGTGGTGGCAACTGTCAAAGATTACAGCTGTGACTCTTTTCAGCCCTAGGTGGGGATGTTGGAAACTCCAACTGGGTCCTCTTGTAGGCAAAACATATTTTCTGCTACTGAGCTGCAATCTCTCACCTAACTTCTGAAGATGGTCAAAAGAAATAAAGAGCGTTTAACTGGAGAATTAAATAAAACCTCAATGAACGTATACCTCAGAGTTTTTATTGAATAGATGATGGTTTGAATGTTTTCCTTCCTTCCCTGTTTATTCTGTGAGGCAGAAGAAAAACTGACATACATATGCATATATGAAAATCTTGGAGGGGAAGAAGGAGATGGAGGGGATTGCCAGATCTTCTGCAACTCTGGTTATAAAACAGAGTATTTCCCAGATTCGTAAGGCCCTGTCTACTTATGATACCTATCAACCTGTCAGGAACACAACTCAGGGAACCATTCTGAGTCCACATTAGAGCCCCAAAGTTAGAAACTAACATGTAAGCTTTGGAATTTCTGAAAATGTTTTGTCATGCGAGGTGATAAATGAAAAGAAAGAGGACAAAGAAGAGAAGAAAAAAGTAGTTAAGGTTCATGGCAGAGGGAAAATATTTAATTATTTCTGAGCTGAAATGGGAGATACATTGCAGACGTTCAAATTTGATTCTGTCAAATGGTACCTGGCTTTCAGGTTGTACCTGAAAATCTCCCATGGATGGCTGAGAAGAAGCTAATTAACAATGATAGATTTCTTCCTCCATTTAAAAATATAAAATACAGCTATTAAAACTATGTTTATCCTTAGCTGAAATACATATTTCAATTCTGTGATTGACTGGAATTGTATACAATGAATACACAAAATATGTTTATTGTTTTTTTTACAGGGTGAACTACCTTGAAAATATGCTAATGTGCATCTTATCAAGGGTAATGAGATAAGGAAAATATCCAGAACAGATATACATATGGGTTGAATGGATGAGCAAATGGGAAAGACAGAAGAACCATTAAGTCAGAGGAAATTATATAATGTCAGGGATGAAATGACAAATATTGTTCTACACCATGATGCAAACTCCTTTTTGTAGCTCTCCAGAAGATTCTCGGGCTAAAGAAGAATCCTTTCTTTCTAGAAGGAATGGATTTGAATTTTTACCCAAAGAGATACTAACATTTGCAGTCATAAGAATGAGCACATTGGTGCAATATATTTTTGGGGGGGAGTTGGGGCAAGTTTGTCATTTTTTTAATGGGGAGGGTTATCCTTGTGTATGCTGCTATTCATCCCTTACATATAGGTGTGTGTGAAGTGGGCTGCTGACATCTTCTACTCCAGGGATGGGCAATTATGGCCTCCTTATAATATGTGGACTTCAACTCCCAGAATTCCTGAACCAGCTATGTTGGCTCATGGGGGTTGAAGTCTATAGGTTGTAAAGGGGCCATAGTTACCCACTCCTGCTCTAATCTGTAATGTTTTAACAAACAAATTCACCTAACTTTGCATGGTCCCCGGCCTGCTTTGCCAGATTTGCAATAAGTGAGGGGGGCTGTAGCCAGACTGGGAAAGATTCAGGCCACAGGGTTTGATAGCACATCTTAACACTGAATAGGAATAAAGTCTGGAGATTATGAAAGCTTGTTTTGTTTCAAGTCAGTTATCTTTATTTTTTCTTAAGGTTGCTTTACTGCTGCAATTGAAGTAGGCATTGCAGGTTGTAGCTGGGCAATATAGCAATAGCACTTAGACTTATATACTGCTTCACAGTGCTTTACAGCCCTCTCTAAGCGGTTTACAGAGCCAGCATATTGCCCCCGACAATCTGGGTCCTCATTTTATTGACCTCGGAAGGATGGAAGATTGAATCAACCTTGAGCCGGTCAGGATCGAACTGCTGGCAACTGGAAATTAGCAGAATTAGCCTGCAATACTGCATTCTAATCACTGCACCACCAGGGCTCCAGTATGCTATAGAGGCAGACTCTCAAGGTATTTTTTGCTTCTCAAACACATTAATCTCATTTGCAGAATAATCTGGTTGGGTCTGACTTTGACCTCAGACTGATGGTAGTGTTGGATTGTGGTGAGGTTAGTTTTGTGAAGGCAATGAAATAGGTTGGGGTTGGTCATAGCTACAGAGCCATGTGGAAAAGTAAATTCAGAAGCCAAGAGGCATCTTTAAAATGATTAAGGGTGGTATCTGTGGTGAAAGTAAGGACTTTCTTGAAAGCCCACCCAGAGTTATAAGACCAGGAAAGGAGCAACTCAGGAAAATCTCCCTTGATACCTATGCAGGTATGCTCTGGTGCAGGGGTAGGCAACCTTGGCTCTTTTATGACTCGTGGACTGGCTCAGGAATACTGGGAGTTGAAGTCCACGAGTCATTAAAGAGCCAAGGTTGCCTACCTCTGCTCTAGTGCAGTGTTTCCCAAACTTGACAATTTTAAGGCATGAGGACTTCAACTCCCAGAATTCCACAGCCAGCAACGCTGGCTGTGGAATTCTGGGAGTTGAAGTCCTCATGCCTTAAAATTATCAAGTTTGGGAAACACTGCACTAGAGGGACCAAGTTAGGCTTAGATAGTAAGAATCATGAGGTGATTTTGGCATTTAAGCATATTCCTGCATTATTAGAGTGCTAAAGGTTTTGTTTTTAATAAATGTGTCAGCCAAACCTACCATGTCTTGTCTCTTTATTTGCTGGGAGGTTTCTATTGAGTCTTTCTCTCTAGTCTCCCCACTGTGCCCATTTTGAAAATTAAGAGGGACAAATGGTGAAGAAGGTGCCAACCCCCTGGTTCATTTAAGTGGTGGGATTGTGTTAAGCCAACTGTGATTGTGGGAAATCTGGATGTAGAGCTGACAAAAGAAAACTAATTTCATCTCCTTTGCAAGTTCATTCCTTTTATGGGATAGGATCACTGAAAATAACATCAAAGAAGCTTCCCAACCCCAAAAATAACCCTCCAAAGTATTTTTTTTTCTTTTGCTTTAGTTTCTTCCTTGGGAAAAATCCTATCAGAAGCCATTTCCTTCAATAGGATCTATCTGTAAGAATCCCTAAGTTATCTGAAATCTGATACTGATATTGATCTGATAACTTTCACTGGCTTCTTTCAACTTGACTGTAATCTGACAATGATATTGGATAAATGGAAATCAAAAATTGTTCCTTCAGGTCACAGGAGTTATGCTGACAATCTAAAGAGGACCAGGTAACAATTTAATTGCTATTGCACATTTTTTAGGAAGTGGAAAGATAGGTTTTGTTCTGGCTAATAGAGCTAAGGCATTCCAGTAGCTTTTCCCTGGAGGTGTTCCTTATTTTAAATATGTATTGACATTTCTCCTATGTTCTTGTAATTTGTATTTCCTAATCAATTTAGATTTAACAATGCTACATTTGAATAAGACCCAGAAGGCAAATTGTATCAAATACAGTTGTTTGGAATACATAAATATTGGCTGAGGAGAGATTTGGGGAAATCCTTATTTACCAAAGCTTACAAAAACTAAACATTGCCATCGGGAGCTGGAGAAATATTATCCATTGGTACAGATACAGCAGGAAGAGGATTGATAATCCCTTTTGGATAACTTTAAAAAATGTGTGAGAACATGAAAAAGACACAGAATTCAATATCTGTAACAAGACAATGGTGCTTTTATTAAGCCAAATCAAATGGCACAAAGTTTATATCAGGAAAATGTTATAATAAACAGGTGATGGGCCTTCCACCAGCAAGACTAGCAAAAATGTTTAAAAATATGTCAGATAGATGTTGGAAATGTAAACATAACATAGGCACGTATTATCATATTTGGTGGACATGTGGGAAGGCAAAGGCTTATTGGAAAAATATACATATGTGGTTAGAAAAAATATTGGGTGAACAAGTGGATTTTAAACCTGAACTTTTTCTACTAGGCATTATTCCTGAAAACAATAATAAGCAGAAATTATATTTAATTTTACACATCACCACAGCAGCGAGAATAATTTTTGCACAATACTGGAAGAATGAAGGACTGCCATCAGAGGAAGAAATAATCAAGAAAATACTGGAATGTGCAGAGATGGACAGATTAACTATGAGGTTGAAAGACAAAGAAGATACAGACTACTATCAAATTTGGAATTTATTTTATTCTTGGTCAGAGAAAAGAATGAAAGATTAGGAATTGAACATGTATTAGCTTAGCAAACTCCAGACAACTTGTTGATTGGAAAAATTAACATATGTTGATGAGAAAAAAATAATAATAAAAATAAGAATGAAGAAAAATAAAATAAACAGGTGATGGGGATAAAAAAAAAGAGAGCCCCAAAATTAGATCAGATGCTACAGTCTGAGGTTTAAAGTCAGTGTTAGGATGAGATTTAGTAAGTGATAGATTTTATTGACTTTGATTACACTTTGTGTCTTTTAGATTAATGGTTCGGCTGTACTTTCCAGGTCCATAAATACAAAAACAATTTGGTCTTAGGTGCATGGTCTCTAGCTGCATTCAAAAAGGGGGTATTTTTGACTTGTCTTCTGAAATCTTAATAGGTACAAATTGCAGCCAAGCTCTTCTGAGATGTACAAGAAGAGCTAACTCTTCAGTATGGTGAGATTACAAACTAAAACACACACACACAAACACGCACACCAACCCTGACAGCTGATTTACTTCCCCCCTGCTCTGAAATTCAATCTCTTTACCTTTGTTCTGTTTAGTTTTCACATTACATGTTGCAAAATGTTAATTTCTTCTTGGAGTTTTGTAAACAGTGCAATTGGCAAAAACATCAAAGGAGTTGAACATGGTGTAATAGTGTCTCCTAAATGTAACACAAATGTTTCAAACCCTGAATTGCAAGATCAAGGCAGAGCTCTTTCCAGAGCTATCTCTGTTGCAAGATAAATAAAATAAATGTTGTAAAACTGAATTGATAAGGGTTACGGCTTAAGGTTTGCTGGGAAAATTTGCTGCAAGACATTTCACTGGAGAAAACAAGAGATGCTAAAATTAGACTTCCTTAGGAAAGTTAGATCTTTGATCTTAACATATGATAATGAAGCACTTTTCAAAGTGTGTGGGCGTACATACATACACATACAATATAGAGTGATACTGTACAAGTAATACAGTATATTGGATCTGTTTGACTCCATTTCACATCTCAGTTCAAGTAAAGTAATGGACACAATAATGGACCCATA